GATCTTGCCCACATTTTCTTATACTTAATATACCAACCTAAAATTCTTTGAAAAAAGTACACAAAGTACATTTTTCAGAACAAAAAATATATTAATTTCATTAAACCTCTGCTTCTTAGGGTACTCATGACCCCCAGAGGGTATAGAGGAAACCACAGCAGATGGTTAATGCTACATTATTTTAGGAAAAAAAAATGTCAACATACATTTTATACCAAAATAGTATAGGTGCATCATAAAATCAAATTCAAGAATTCCTTCACATTTTTAGAAAAAAACTTAAAATATCAGTTATAATTTCACTCAAGATAGACTCTTTCATATCTCCCCCAAATCAACCTACATATTAAAAGTAAATTCTACCAAAATCTCAGCAGACTTTTGCTAATATTGTTGAATTGGACACACAGAATCTAAAGTGTATATAGAAATTCAACACTTAGAATAGCCTAAACAATTTTTTTTAAAAAGCAAAAGTTGGAAGGATTAAAACTATTAAATTTTTAAGCTGCAGCAAGCATTTCAAACAATGGTACTGGTATAAAGATAAACATGGAAGTCATTGAGAAAGTACAGAAAGTACAGAAATGAGTCCTCAATATGTAGACTCAATGGATTTTTGACAACAGTGTCAAGGCAATTAAAGGGAAAGGATGGTCCTTTAAACAAATGATCCCTCCATATCATGTGCAACAATTAATATAGAATGGATCATCAATCTGAATGTAACAGATAAAACTATAACTTTTTTAAAAAAACATAATAAAAAATCTTTGCTAGATTAGGCAAAATTTATAGGTGGACCATCAAATGATTATAAATTGATAAATTATAAATTGAAAAATATGGCTTCATCAAGATTAAAATATATTACTTTTCTTTTTTGCATTCACAGAATTTATTTTTATTTTTTTTATTTATTTTATATTTTAATTTATTTTTTAAATAAATGACAGTGGAATGCATTACAATTTTTATTACACATATACAGCACAATTTTTCATATCTCTGGTTGTATATAAAGTATGTTGATACCAATTCGTGTCTTCATACATGTACTTTGGATAATGATGTCCATCACACCCCACCATCCTTGTTAATCCCCTGCCCCCTCCCTTCCCCTCCCACCAAAACATCATTATGAAATGAAAAGAGAAAAAAAAAAGTCACCAGGAGGAAATTTTGGAAACCATACATCTCACTAAGGACTTGTATCCAGAATACATGAAGAACTTTTACAATTCAGCAACAAAAAAATCAAATAACCTAACTAAACAGAGGCAAACGATTTACTAGATAATTCACCATAGAAGATATAAAAACAGCCTTATGAATATCATTAGTCATTGGGGATATATAAATCAAGATAAGATACTACTATAACCCAGTAGAATGGCTCTTATCAAAAAGACTGAAAATACTAGAAGCTAGCAAGGATATAGAGAAGAGGATTCTCATACTTTGTTGGTAGAAATGTCAAAAAAAAAAAAAAATTCAAAGCAGTTTCAGTTTAATGTTTTCTTAAAATATTAAGTACAAACTTATAGAATCCTATAATTATACTCCTAAAATATCACCTAAGCAAATAAAAATATTTATCCATGTTTTAATCAAAACAGCTTTTTCGTTGCTGAGACAAAAAAAAAAATGACAAGAACAATTAAAGGAGGAAAAGTTTATTTGGAGCTCACAGTGTCAGAGATCTTAGTCCACTGAAGGCCAGCTCCATTCTTTGGGGCCTGAGATGAGGCAGAACATCACTGAGGAAGAGTATGCCAACATCATTGAGGAAGAATATGCCAGAGGAAAGCAGCTCAAGACATGATGATCAGGAAGCAGAGAGTGAGATAGCTTTGTTCAACAAGGATAAAATATATACCCCAGAGACATGCTCCCAGGGACCCACTTCCTCCAGCCACACCCTACCTACTTACAGTTACCATCCAGTTAATCCCTATCAAGGGGTTAATGCATAAATTAGACTAAACCTCTTCTTACCCAATCGTTTCATCTCTAAACTCTCTTGCATTGCCTCACACATAAGATTTTGGGGAACATCTAATCTCTAAACCATAACACCACACAAACTCTTATATACGAATGTTTGTAGCACCATTATTTATTATATCCAATAACAGGCAGGAATCTAAATGTCTGTCAACTGGTAAACCAATAAATAAAATGACCCAATGGAATACTTCCCAAAGATCAAAATAATTAAATTTCTAAATGTGTTACAACATTGATGAATATCAAAAAAAAATATCATACTAACTGAAAGAAGTCAGATATAAAAGATTCCAACTAAAAATCTTCTGGGAAAGGCAAAGCTGTGAATACAGAATGCAGATCACCATGAGCCTGGGCTGGTGGCACTAGCAGTGATTTGACAGCAAATAAGCACAGACAAACTTGGGGAGGATAGTGAAGACATTTTAGAATTGAACTACGGTGATGACTACACAACCCTACATATTGTAAAACCACTGACATACGTAATTGCAATATGTGATTATTAGGGTATAAAAATTATAATTCATTAAAGCTGTTAAAATAAAAAAATGAGTATGCAAAGTTCTAAATTAAAGCCATACACTATCTTTACATGATAATTCAACAAATTACTAGTTTGAGATATTAAACACAAAGATGACAAACTGGAACTATGATAACTATTTTCAAACACTTGATGATATGCAAACTGCCCTTCAGAGAATAACTAAGACTAATGGATCTTAATTAGAACAAATAAATTAATAAAAGTCTAAAATGCAGCTCAATACACTTAAAAACTCTCTAAAAAGCAAGAGCTAAACTTTCATAAAAATGAGAGCCAAAGTAAATAACGGAGCCATCCACAATGCTCCACGAAATCAGCCTGTTTATTGTTATTGTTGAAACCTGCTAACTAATTACCTATTTAGGATTATTCAGTGTTGATTCCCACACAGAATGAAACTAAAATGTAATTGGAATTTAAAAATAAACTAAATCATTTTTAAAAGATTGCTTTCAAAAAAGAGGAAGCTGGACTGGAGACACAGCTCAATGATAAAGTACTTGCCTAGCACCTGGGCTCAATTCCCAGTACAGTCAAAACCAAAGAGAAAAAAACAAAACAAAAAAAAAAGGGGGGGGCATGAGAAAAACAGAGTCAATATCAGAGTCTAGCCCAGGGCCAAGGACAAAGACTCTAATTGACTGATAACTCAGATGCAGAAGGGATCTGGAGGTGAAGATATTAAATGCCTGGATAAAAGCATGGCGATTTGAACTGGTAGCTGTTAGGGAAACAGTCTAATTGTACTGGCATAGCAGCCGCCTTTTAGCCAGGATCAACTGGCTTTTTGACCTTATAAATTTTGGAATACATATTCTCAAAAAAAAAATCACTGATTTTAAAATTTTAAGTAGGTAAAGTACTGACATGAGACTCTTTTATTGATTTTTCTTAATAAAATAACATTTTAAGCTGGGCACCATGGCGCATGCCTATAATCCCAGCTGCTAGGGAAGCTGAGGCAGGACAATGTCGAGTTCAAAGCCAGCCTCAGCAATTTAGCAAGGCACTAAGCAACTCAGGGAGATCCTGTCTCTAATAAAATACAAAAGGGGGCTGGGGATGTGGCTTGGTGGTTAAGTGCCCCTGGTTTCAATTCCTGGTAACAAAAAAAAAAAAAAAAAAACTAACAGACAATAAATAGAATTATTTATCTATTCTATCTTATATGTAGATATGTAGTATTTATGACAAAATAAATCTCTTGTTGCCTGAAAAAACATCTGTCATGAACTTACATAAAACTACCATTTCAGAACTCATCTCTGAACTTGCTTACATGCATTTTTCAGTGGGCAATGTAAGTAAGGTAAGGATGCATATGCTATAACAGCACCAACTAAGACAAAATAACACCAAATGCTTTCCCTCTGCCATCAAAAAGAGAAAAAGAAAAGAATGATAGCTCTTGTCATAAATACTTCACACTGTGCTAGAGGCTCTACCCAGTGCAATTAAATAAGAAAAATAATTAAAAACACCAAGATTGGAAAGGAAAAAGTAAATGCATTTATATTTACAAAATATCTGAACTTGTATACATGGAACCCACACAAAAAAAAATGATCTGAGAATAAATAAATAAGTTCAGTAAAGCAGCAGAACAGATCAATATACAAAAATCACTTATACTTCTCTGTACTATCAATTAACAAACTGCAAATGATAATAAGAAAACAATTCATATCACAATTGGATCAAAAAGAACAAAATACTAGAAAAAGAGCAAAACACTTAGAAGAATATTCATCGAAATAAGTACAAGACTAATACACGGAAAAATATTAAATATATCATGGAAAAAATTACACATGACTGTATAAATGGAAAAAAAAAACTAATATTCACAGATTTGAACACTTAATAATGGGGCAATACTCCCAAAATTAACCTACAGATTCAAAATATCCTAAACTACTCGCCACCTCTTTTTTTTTTTTTACAGAAATTGACAAACTGAATCTAAGATTTATTTGGAGGGGTCAACAAAATAAATACCAAACAAGAACAAAATTAGAGGCCTCACACTTCCTTAACTTCCTTATTTCAAAACTTTTACTACAAAGCTATATGATACAGAAATGTAGTGCTAAAGACAGATATACGGGTTATTGAAGTAAAATTGAGAATACAAAAATAAAACAATAAATTTATTATGATTTTATGGTTTTATATTTGGAATGTTCCCCAAAGTCTCATTTGAAGGCTTGGTCCTCCAATGCAGCAATGTTCAGAACTGGGGGTTTGAGGAAGTGATTGCATCACAATATTGCTAACCTCATCAAAACATTAATCATTAAGGAAGTCACAATTTGAGGGCATTATTGGGAGTCAGTGGAAACTGGAGGAGCTGGGGTCTAGTTGGAGGAAGCCCTGGGAGCATCCCTGGAAGTTTATCTATTGTCACACACCTCTTCCTCCCTCCCTTCCCCCGTCTCACCTTTCCAGCTGTCATAATGTTCTGCCTTACCACAGGCACAAAAACGATGGCACCAGATGACCATATACTGAAATCTCTGAAACTGAGACAAAAAAAAAAAAAAAAATTTTCCTCCTTTAAGTTGTTTTTCTCTGGTATATATGTACATATTTTTTGTATTTATTCAAACATATATTTATATACAAATATATACATTTATATTTATATAAATGTTTATTTGTAAAATATATTTGTTTATATAAATATATAAATAATTCTTATAATCAACAATGAAAACACATATATTCAAATTATTAAGTGAGGACTTAAGTAGACATTTCTCTAAAGAAGACACAAAATGATCAATTAGTACATGAAAAACTGTCAATATCATTGTCCATCAGGGAAATGGAAAAACTAAAACTAAAACCTAAAAACTAATAGCCAGTGGGATGACTAAAATTAAAAAAAAAAAAACTCAAGTAGAAACCCCTACATTGTTAAAATTAGTGCAGTCACTTTGGAAAATGGAAAATGTTTAGGCAGTTCTTCTACATGTTAAATGCAGACTTAACCAACTCTTTGAGTAAACACCTAAAAGTACTGAAAACATATTTCTACATTTAAACAAGTATGTTTATACAATTATTATTTTTAATAGGCAAATAATGGAAATAACTCAAATGTCTATCAATTAATGAATGGATAACCCCAAATGGAATATTATTTGGCCACAAAAAGTAATGAAGTGCTGATACTTGTCAGGACATGGAAAAACCTTCAAAACATTACACTAAGAAAAGAAGTCAGAAACAAATGACCTGGCATTATAGTATTACATTTATGTAAAATATCTAGAATATGAAAATCCACAGAAACAGAAAGAAATAGATAGTAGCTACCAGAATCTACCAGAGAGAGGGAGACAGTATAACTCTGCTAATGAATACTGGATTTCCTTCTGAGATGATAAAAATGTTCTAAAATTTATTAAAATTAACGTGGCACAAATCTGTGAATATAGGAAAATACACTCAAGTAACACTTTAATGGTTAAATTTCGTGTTTATGTATGTCTCAATTAATCTGTAATTAAAAATAAGGCAAAGCAGATAGGCCATTTAAGTTAGGTCAGGACCTACATTTAGTAACATGTAATATTTTATTACATGGTAAAATGACTCAGGAAGCATTGGTTGCAACAAGGGGGAAAAGGCAAATATGAGGCTTCCAAAAGGCTTAACACAGTAGCCACTAGTGTAGCCCTTGAGCACTTGAAATCCACTATCCTGAACTGAGTTGAAATAAATGAAAAACATATATTGGATTTCAAAGCCAACTGTTAAAAACTGTAGAAAAACTCACTAATAAATTTATATCACATGCATGTTGATAATATTTTAGTCAAATTAGTTAAATAAAATATTCTATTAAAGTTAATTTCACAGCTTTTTAATGTGGCTATTAAAATGTTTTTAGGTGCACGTGTGGTTTGTATAATGTTTTTATTAGGAACCACACAAGCAAAGGTAGACAAAGAAGAGATGCTTCAACTGGGGAATGAGATTGAGAGAAGGAAGCAAGTGGGATTTTTTTTAACATGAGCATATATGAACTATTTACAATACAACACAGATTCAGTATGGGGTATATGATATTTTATATTATTTATAATATTTATATGATGATGATGATAATTAGGACTACCCATACTCTCAAAATAGTATTTTGATTTAGGGTGTTTAGCTGTGTTTTAAGGAATGATGAGAAGTAAAAGACAAAGAAAATATAAAACAGTACTCCAGATAGAAGGAAAGCTTACCCAGCAGCAATAAGGAACAAGGCAGCTGAGTAAATTGGAGGACAGAAGAGAAGAAAGGAGAAAAAAGCCCATAAAATCAGATTTATAAGTGAGAAAAAGTATTTATCATTTATTCAAAAGATGTTGAAGACAAGCCAGTCACAGCAGTGCACAACTATAATCTCAGTGGCTCAGGAGGCTGAGGCAGGAGGATTGCAAGTTCAAAGCCAGCCTCAGCAAAAGTGAGGCACTAAGCAACTCAGTGAGACGCTGTCTCTAAAGTACAAAATAGGGCTGGGGATGTGGCTCAAGTTGTTTAGTGTCCCTGAGTGAGCTCAATCCCAGTAACCACCTCCCTACCAAAAAAAAAAAAAAAAAAAAAAAAAACATATTGAAGGCAGAATCTTTTCTATAATTTACAAAGACAACTTTCTATAGTTTGCTCTTACATGTCCCCTGAGGGCCTAGGTTAAAGGCTGGACTCACAGCATGGCATACTGGGAGGTAGTAGAACCTTTAGGAGGCCAGGCTTACTGGGAAGCTTTCCAGTCACTGAGGGCATGCCCTTGCAGCAGATAATGGAACCTCAGCCCCTTCCTCTATCTTTCTTTTGATTTCTGGCCATGGAGCAAGTGGCTCCAACACACACTTTTATGATGATGTGCTGCTGAGTCTCCACCACCCAAAACAACAAGGCCAATCAATCATGGACTGGAGACTCTGATATAGTAAAACAAAATAAATATTTCCTTGGTATAAATTGATTGTCTCAGGTATCTGTTACCATAACAAAAAGCAGACAAACAGACAGCTCTCACTGGATTATACAGAACGTGAGCACACTGGGGTAAGGAAAGACCAGGAATGACAGGGAATGAAGCTAACTTTTATTGATTTACCTGCATTATTTGGTTATCCTATAATATAGTTATCCTTGCTCACGGATTAAAAAAAAAAAGTCAAAGAACAAGAAAATTCCTATGCCCCAAAAATTTATCATCAGAACTCAGGGGCGAGAAGATAAGCATTGAAGAGAATTGGGGAAGAAGTGGTAAGGATGTTTGGTGGCATCCTGTCTTTATTTCTAAGTGATAGTATTCCATGGAGCCTAAAGGACCGGAAATAATCAGGGTTCTGAAAATATTAGAAAAGAATCTGCAGCAGTCACTGAAATGAAAGGAATAGAAGGAGCTAATCCAGAGAAAGTCATAAAAGGAGCCCTAAGAGTTGTTAAACATCCATTAAACAGAAATAAAACTAGATAAAATTTATTGAGTTCTTATTATGTACCAGGCACTGGTTTAGCATTTTATATGCATTGTCTCATTTAATCCTCAAGACATCCAATTAGGCAAGTATAATTATATATCCCTATATTACATATGCAAATTAGAGATTAAGTAACTTGACCTTTCATCACACAGGCATGATTCAAACCCACTTTTATCTGTCTCCATCTACTTAACCAGGTCTCCAATGTCACTGTGATGTTAATCTGAAATCCCATTCCGTTACAAGGGAAGAAAGCCCCTCATTTTAAAAATGAAGACATGCTGAGGCCTAAAGAGCTTGAGATGACTTATCTAGATCTCCAAACTAATTAATGCCAGTGCCACAACTGAAATATGGGTTTCAAATTTTCAGATGCAAAGCTCAGGTGTGAATATGCAATAAACTGGCTGTTTCAAAAATCTATCCAAATGGCTGAAACAAATCTGAAACAGGTGAGATCATTTATGAATTCATCAAGCCTGAAACCAGCACATAGTAGCACAGTGACTTGAACACAGAAATAAATAAATCAATATTTCCTATAGGAAAATAAAAAGAAGAAGGAAGACATGAAGGGAAGGGAGAGGGAAGAGAAAGAAAAAGGTAGGAAAGAGAGGAAGCATTGTATTGTTTTCAGGGAGAATGTTCCGTTTCTTACAAAGTTTGATTGTGACCAAATCCTTTGATTCAGAACTGACAGGGCACTTGTGCTCAAATAACTGACTACTTTAGGGTACTATCAAGTACAGTCTCAGATTTATAACAAGGCAATTGGCCTATTTCCATACTCCTGCTGCTCGCGGAATTTTCAACTATTGCTTAACAACAGAATTCTAATGCTGGATACAGCAGAAAAATCATCTTTTATTTGACTGGAATGTAAAATGGTTGCAACCATGATAGTGATTATAGCACTATATTATTGGGTATATGCATCTAGAAATGCCTTAATCAAAGTAAATCCTTTGATTGTATGCATTCAGCAGAAAGTTATAATCCTTTTATCAGCAAGGAGGGAAACTAAGGAAACAAATACATCTGTAAAATTAATAAATACAGAGTTCTTATATTTCCTTCTTTTCAAATTTCTCAGATTATGTTAATTATCAGATACAAGTATTTGGAAAAAGGTGTTTTGAGTATTAGAGTCATATAGTAATCACAATATATAGAAAAAAAGAGACTGATAAGAACAAACTAAAGAAAAAATCTAAGATACACAATCTTATATAATTTAACTGAAGTCAGAAGAGGCCTGAAATACGTCACTGCTTCGTAAGTATTGGTCAAATGACATCAACTCTGAAATTCCTATTCTTGCACTTGCCAAGAGAAATGATACGACTAGTATTGTTACTATTATCTAAAATTGTTACCCAACTTCATTTTACATAAATCATAGGTACTGTGAGATCCATAAATGTTGCTTTTGAAAAGGAAAGCATCAAGGTTTAGTAAATAATGCATTTTTGCATTGTCTCCTATCTGCCATTTGGAAATTCTCAGACATCTCCAAAATGTGTTCTCAAATTAATCTACTAAAATGAACATGATAGGAGGTACTTAATAACTTTGGATAAATTACTTGAGGTTAATTATTATGTCCATGTCAGAATCAAGACTCAGATATATAGTTATTTAAAAAAAAAACTGCCAAGAATTCCTTACAGCTTGATCTTATTCTTCAAGTCATATCTTGGCAGCAACCTACCCCTTGAGGATTTGTTTGCTTGACTACACTTCATTATCTTATCAATCAGCTTATCAGTAAAGATTATCACTTGAAGTTATCAGTTCAAAGTTACCTGCTACTCATGTTTACCTTTAAAGTCAACAGAATTAATTTAACTGATGACTGATTCTGTGTGAACAGAAATGACTAGAGGATGAAAATTCTAGTGTAATTTGCAAGAAAAATATAATTTTAAGTGATGAAATACTTACAATGCAAGGCTTCATAAAATTTAAGCAATATATCCACTATACTAGTGGACTTACAATAATCTTTACTTGATATAAAAAGTTTTGCC